ACGAAGGGATGCGCACACTGTTCACTGACGTACGCCCAATACCTAATAATTAGTACTTATCGCAACCAGTTCTACCAAAAAACGTTTATTACTACTAATTTTTGTACTGCTAATACTACTTCTACCGTTACTACTACTAACACTACTCTATACTGGTTCAAGTTGAATACTACTCTCTTGTCACCCCTACCTTGAACACCGAGGGCTGATGGGGCTTGGCTTTAGTGCGTGTGCACGCCGCTATTCCATGTCGTTCCCTCGCCAAATGACTGGCCCTCCTACACAAAGTGCACGCTAACCCGATGAATTGTTCGCATGTCAGAAGACCGGTCCACCTACACATAGTGCATGTGACGACGCACACAGCGCGGTCGGCGCAGAACTTTAACGCGCCAGCGGCATGAGTCACAAGGCCCATGGAGTGGCGCCTTACTTGAGACCACAATCTTATTGGTCCATCTTGTTCCCGCGTTCGCTTGCCTTTTATAGTTCACTATATTTAGGGAAGTAGGCCATGCGCTTGAAGACACTATAAAATATCCAACATAAAACATGTTACCATACAATAGTGAGTTATATATAAACATGTGCAAATTTTCACTGCAGGTATGGCCAATGTGTTAGTGAGAGCATTCAGTGGTTTCTTGTATGCATAATATGTCCAACATAATATGTGTTAATATAAAGTAGTGAGTAACATATATATATATATTTCTCTGCAACAAATGCTTCATATTCCTTCCGGAATTTTTAGATGCTCGACCTATTTTCTTTTCGCTTTTGGAGGAATTCGTCGTCGTTTGAGAGTTGGCGTGCTGATGCGTACCTCCTTCAGAGTTTGTTCTTGTGGTTTATGTGGCTCTTCGGATCCTATGTTAATCAGGTGGGCCTGCTCGCCTTTTGTACTTTTTTCAGCGGACAGTTTCGATGCATAACGTCACTTATAAGATCCATGATCATGTTCCAGTCGGCATCCGGACTACCGGTGAGAATGTCATACCAGTTTATTGTTGCTAGTTCACTTCTCATTGCGGTGTTATTTCCGCGCCAATAGTCTAACTGAACCTCCGTACTTTTCGGTTTACTGGTGTTTAAGCCGTATTCCCAAAGAATCGTGACGTGGTCACTCTTGCCAAGCGGCGCGATTGACCTAATTTCGTCTGTTTCAATCGGGTCTTTCGAAAGCACGAGGACCAAAGAGCTCGCTGTTTGTGCTTCTTTTATTCTCGTTTGAAATACAATATTCTGCCAGAGAGAAAGGTTCCCCGTTAACTTTATGAGTCTAGAGCTAAAGGTGCATGTAAACCCAGTTGATCAGTGAGGCGTTAACATCTCCAGTGATCAGTGCGTTTCCATTTATGCCAGTTCATGCATTAGCCGAAAAATGGTCTCGTCACCCTATGGATATGTATTCGGCGGTCTATATACAGTCATAATATGTAAAGTGGGTGCACCAAGCGTTGTCAGTTTAAGCCCTAGTGCTTCACAATCATGAGAGGAACTAATTTCGTAATGATGCCCTTCTTCACAAACACTGTTATTCCTCCTCGTCGCCTATGTATCCGGTCCCGACGGAAAACTTGGTACTCCCCGGGTAAAATCTCGGCATCCATTACGTCGGCTTTAAGCCAGGTCTCAGTAATGGATATGACATCCGGCTGTGCGTCACCTTTACAAACTTTAAGCATTTTAATCTTCTGAAGCAACCTTTTTTTATTCGCATAAAGAAAGCGCAGTTTCACCGGTATAGAGTTTTGAGCGATTTAAGGATATAGGTAGCCGGAAGGTTTTTGCGGATTAGCTACTGTATTACATGAGTTTTGGTTTCGTTATGTCTGTCAAACTCAGCGTTGAAGAGAAGAACACTCGATCGCTGGGAACATTTGTTTATTTACCTGACGTTTCGACATCCACCGCTGATTCATCGTCATAGACATGAGTAGCAGAAACAGGTAAAGCATGCACGGAAGTTTGCAGCATTTAAAGGAGACAGTCATTATTGCAAGCATACAACGACAATTGCCCTCTTGCGCGTGGATTGTTTGTTGGACGGCACGCGGGCTCTGACCTGTTGGCTCTACAGAACTCCGGTGCAACAACGCCGTCTGACTGACGCATTGCGTGGGCACAAGAAACTACTGTGTAATATATAAAATTGCATAGCATTTAAATTTATCCTATTTGTTAAGAAAGAAGATACATAGAAGAAAATCCCGCAGAATTGCCAGTCACAAATACGTACC